ATGATCATGTCAGTTCAAGTATCATTGTGAAGATGAATAACTGGACAAATTTGGAATCAATCTATTGTCTATGTGTACGGCTTCTCAAACAGTTACAGTTTTTTAACCAAATAAATATTTATTTTGCTACCTTTGTTTGCATTGTCCATGTGTGGTAAAAGAATCAACCACACACAAAGACGCAAAAATTGCGACATCATCTTTGACTGTGTCAGTGTTGTCTATCTGATGTCTTTGTAAAGAGCCAGTCCAGTGCCTGTTCTAAACCTGTCTGTTCGGAATGGGCTGTTCTCTCTGCCTGTGTTAATGCTGTGGATGGAGCTTCTTCAGATTTCTTCCCGGTCATTAGTGAGTCCTCCTCCAACAGTTCTACAATATACTGTCGATATTTATTGTTTGTGTGCTGAACATGTCTATGGTCAGAGTGAAGTTAGAAAACTTTATCCTGATTGGTTTATCTGCAATGAAGAGTTGATAGTTAATTTCTTCATAACTTGAGGGTACACTGAAGCTAAAAATAAATCTGATTGGCTACTGGGCTGTATGGCAGTACTATGAAAGCCATGATGCTCGCTCAGAAGATCAGACATCATTACCTCTGTCTTTTTTAAACTGAACACCTACTGTCAGTCAGCAGAGTCAAAAGCTGTCCCATTTTAGAACATAGGACAAGATGGACAATATCCCTGATTAAGAATAAAGAAATGACATGTTTACATCACCTCTACAAGAGTCATCCTGGAGAAGGAGAGGCCTGGAGGATAGTACATTGTGAGGCTGGTGTTGTATGAGTCATCACCATGATTGGACAGTGTTATAGACACGTTGAAGTAGTTATCTTCTGCCACCAATAAGGTCGGGGTCCTGGGAGACACAGAGTATGTTCTTACTAGTCGCACGATGCCAACATTACAGTTGCTGCACTGTGTTTAGTCACATATAGTACGTACGTGAAGTTGAAATCCACCTCGAGTTCAGCAACACAGTGGTCATTGTTTGTACATTGCTTTTCAAAGGGAACCTGTAAAAAAGAGATTGCTGCTTATTTGAAAACACCGAGCAAGAATCAATTGGTTGCCCTACATCTTTCAGTTCAGAGTCAAACCTGAACAGTTAAAAAAATGGTTTCTGCATTTATGTTTGTTTCATGTATCTAATTGAGGAACTATAAAGTTTTGTTATTAATCCACAAAGATATGTTGATGTTTCTGCCTCCTCAGCAGAAGCTTGTGTGAAAGTTTAAGTCACTCATTTATCTACATCATGATTTTTTCAAGAAATCCACATCACATTTTGCTTTTATCAATATCGATCAGCTTGGAACTTGTTTAAAGAAAGTCTGTAAGGATACAACATCATAAGACGGCCTGCAGCCATCTGCAGTGCACATACCTCAACCATGGCCGTCCTTCTGCTGTCCACGTTCAGGACGGCACCCGCACTCTCACTGTGGACTTGGGAAAAGTTCAATTTGATGTTGATGGGTGATAAAGTGTCTTTCACACATTTCTATGAGAAAGGAAGAAAAGTAATTTGCATATTGTTGAAGACATATTCACAAAGCAGAGATTTTTCATTTTAGAAATTGATTTCAGCATGAAAATAAAAAAAATATAGTCAAATGTACAAGTATTTTGACGGCTAGTGTTACTGGTATGTGACTTGAGGGTCCAGTATTATCAGCTAAATGTATCATGACGTGACAGAAAAGGTGTCGCTGCATGGGGAGGTGGGTTGGTGAGTATTTGAGCTTGAATAACAAAACAACAAATTTGGATGAGTGAGCAGGGACCCCTCACACATTACCCTTAGAATGATTTGGCACAGCCTACTTTTCATATTTCCACTGTTTTTGTAAATTACACAAAATACATTTCTCAGAAAGACGTTTGACGTGTATAAGAATATTTTCACACTGTTTACACAGAATACTCATATATCTTGATCATTTAAATGAGTGAATTTCTCCATACTGGCATGTAGACAGAGTGGTTGAAGCAAGTTTCAATAGCCCTCAGGTTGCAGGTAGAGGTATGATTCCTGGCTTTCTTGTTGTTTTCAAAGAAACCTCGGTAAGTTTGTCTCGTTGGATCCACATTAACTATGTATGAGATGTTCAGTCCTGAGCTCATCACATCTATAAAGACACACAGCAAGATTAAAATACCTCATTGATAGTGTGCACCATTAACAGCTCTTAATAAATCTGTTCATTGGCTCCGGTCCTTACCGTCGTGGCTCTGAGTAGTTTCTTCCATTATAAAGCAGACTGTTAAGGTCACCATGGGTAAAGCTTCATCTATGTTGTCCACACAGTCAAACCTCTCAGTGCTTATTTCCTCAGGTAGAAAAGAGAGACGTGCCACGACGTTGAAGACAGGATTGGACCTGAAAGACATTAAAGATTAATATTGATTAAATTAATAAAAAAATGTAACATTTATTATTAGACTCTTATTTCTGAAGGACAATGGTAAACTAGTGCATAGAGTAGAATCATATTTTGGTAGGTCGTATAAGAGAAGGTTGATATTAGTGCCTTCAGTCCTCCTCTACACTGGATGAAATCACTACTTGTTGGCATGTCACTGGTGTTTTTCTTTTTTTTTTTATTGTAGAAAGTTCGACTGCACTTTCAACTGACCTTTATTTTGAAATCAGCTTAACATTTTCATGATATGTTGTGCCTTTGTTTATTAACAGATGTCATATTGTAATCTCTTTTATTTATAATATTCAATTCATATGTTCAAGGTTCAGGGGCTTGTAAAGCTCTGTGATGTAGAGACTCGTTATGATCGTTCTGAATTTGTTAGCAATTGTCCATAGAAAGACAGGGTGTACAGCATGCACATCCCAAAAAACATCCCTTTTTATCTGATTCTGACTTAGCCATACTCTTAACGTACACAGTATCCATACCTCAAGACAACAGCCATGCCCTGTGATCCAATCACAATATCTGGGAGTCCTTCCTCTCCGAGGTCAATGCGCCCATCGATGGCCTGGCCAAAGAATCTCATCTCAGGACTAATTTCCTGTCCCATGATTCTCTGTAATAACAGTTTAGAAAATTGAAAGTGGGCACAGTTTGCAAACAGATTCTAAGTTACTCATTAGAGAGGCGGTGGAAACACCGGATGGTAGATGCTGCTCGACAGATGGGGTAACATCCATAAAACCACAATACAGCCAAAGCCACAGCCACTGCTCACTACAAAAAACATCTGATAATCTGTTTTTAAAGTCACATGCATTGAAACTGATGGATCTGGTGGAATTTCAGTACGAAGAGTGAACAAACCAAGAAATAATCTACTACCTGGTATACGAGAAGTGTTTTTGGACAGAGAGGGGGGTTATGTTATAACTTGAGAGGGACATTTCATTTGAAACATTGTTATTCTGACACCAATCTCATAGAGCAAAAAGGAAGATTGCCAAAAACATAATTTATGAGAGGTACAGAAATCAAGAAGAGAAATGGAAAGCATGTTTGTTGCACGTAAGAACACTACAGCGATGAAGTGAACAAAATGGACCCTCTGGGAAGAGTGGACTTGTATTTGTAATCTTGTAGAACAGGGGTGGGACAGGAATGTATCTTCTTCCTACTCCTTTTTGGACAGAAAATGATCTATGTTACTTTATGTTACTTAATATTTATGCTTGTTGATTCATTATTTTCTGATTTTTCCTACAAATTAATTTTATTCTATCCTTTTCAAACCTTTGAAATGAACTAAAGTAAGATGCTCATGATGAGACACAAAAGTTTTAGAAGTTATAGATGAAATAAATAAATCATGTCCTTCAGAAGATGTGAGTTTTTGTTTTATTCATAAGCCACTTCTGAAAATAAATACATATATGTCTAACTCTTACAGACTTTTGACAGACAGTGTGGAGATGACAGGAAATGAGGAAGATTCAACTAAAGTCCCCATGGTGGATTCGACCAGGTGAAATTATGGTTTACCTTATTACTTTATTCACTGGGTTTCCTTGATGCACTACTGGTTGGTGTGTGGTTGATGAATCTTTCCACAGCATGTTAGTAAAAATATAATATGTCAAGTTTTCCTCGAGCTCACCTGGCTGAAAGTGCTGCGTATCCCATTGCGTCTGTCACCAAGGTAGATGTACACAACCCCTCTGTTTTCATCCTCAAGGGGGGCTCCAACAGCAACGTCTCGGAGTCCATCTCCATTAATATCTGCAAGGCTGGAAATGGTGGAGCCAAATCTGCCCATGGATGGTGCTGTCACATTTAGTACAGTTGCCAGTTGCATCTGTAGAAGTCAATTCATCATGAAAACAAGTGCATCAATTAAAAAAGTAAAGCAAGAAAGTAAAAAGCCCCACAGTAAACCGGAGGCTTTATCGCTGCCCCCACCTTCTCAGACAGTGAGTAGACGTAGACCAGGCCTTCTCTCTTCTCCTGGGGCTGATAGAACAGCGGAGCTCCCACCAGAAGGAAGTCAGTGTCACCATCTGAGTCGATATCTACTGAGCTCAGCTCTGCACCAAAGTAGGAGCCAATCTGAAAATGTGCGGCATACAGAATGTCTTAACATGCACTCGCCAAAGCATTTTTTAAAAACCTGCATGTATTTGAGTAAACTAAGGATAATCATGTAATGTGCTTCCAAGAGCTCTGTCATTTCATTTTCTCACACATTTACTCACAACTTTGCTGCATCTGTAAATACAAAGTAATTGTGATTAACTGATCTCCTTGATTGCTTCAATAAAAAAACAGCTAGCAGGGCCCGGTCACCTGTTTAATGAAGCTTTCTGAGCAACTTCGCATAGTAAAAGCTGATGTCTCTTCATAGTTGATGTATGAGGGTTCTAGTCTCCAAGGTGAAAGTAAAACCACAGATTCTTGTTGCTCATTGAACAGCTAGTTTTATGGGAAATTACCCCAAAAGCAGATTTAGTAGATTTATCACTTTTCTAACTTCACTCTGACCATAGACATGTTTATAAGCAAAATATGTTATTACGTTTTGATAAATCATATTATAAAATACCTTTTCAAGACAGTATGCCTACCTGGGTACCATTTAGTGTTTGGGCTGCGGTCCAATCCCCACCATCACGTCTGAAAAGTACGACCTGTCCCGTGTGCTCAAATCTTGGTGCACCCGCAAAGTAAAAAGGAGCGTTGTCCTTCTTTCCAACAGAAATAGAGTATCCTGCAACAGTGAAAACAGGAAATGTCACTCAAATCAAATGTTCATTTTATAAGAAGCCCAGTGCTTTACAATACAACGCTATTTTAACTCTCAGTTCCATTGCCATTTACCTCCTGCCAAATAAACCTATTTTGATAAAGGGGCAGGTGATATGTTAATGATGTGTAAATGACTTTACCCATGTAGGAGTCCTTTTTCATGCGTGGATCTTCAATTTTTGTTTCTTTTCCTTCATGGAATTCTTGGAGAGAGCCCAACCAGTCCTTTGAGCCCACTGCACCCAGGATCAGTGTTTTCTGTCAACAGAAAAATGCAAGTCTAGTCAGAGCACAGAGTGGAGCTACCAGTGGGTGCTGTGTCGACTGTCTGAACTGCTGCTGTCAAACTGGTTGGTCCACTGAGGCAGTGGAGAATTGTTGTTTCATCCAGAAAAACGATGGAGGATTGTAAACAGTGGTCCCTCAACGAGGCAGCTGCATTGTACAGGAGGAAATTAACCACACTGTTTGTCTGCCCCTGTTAATGGAAACATTAGTGACTTCACTCACGTTATGGAAGGCAGCACTGAATCCACTCTGAGCCATTTCGTCCAACATGTCTGCTCCCCGAGCCACACTGGAGCCTGCATATGGAAACAAACTAGTTCACTAGTATTGGTGTCTGGCTATGGCTTTTGTTACATTGTTAGATAAAGAGGAAAGAAAATATCCAACATCACCTTCCATTTTAAAAATCCTTTTTTGAAACGTCTCCAGTATTCCCGTCAGTCCGTTGTAGTCCTCAATTTTAAAGGCATATTTGTCCGTTGGTTGTGAAGCGATGGCTGTGAATTTTTCTAGCATGACGTCTTTGACCTGAAATCAGAATGCAGTTTGATGTTAATTCAGAGGTGGTAAAGAGAAACCACACAGGCTGATGGTCTGTAGAACATTTCAGTTCTGCACTGAGAAGTGCAATTGTGCATCTCTGTAGGAGTGAACAGAGCTGTCCCATGAACTGAATGTGTCTGTGGGTGGATGTGCATATCCTGTGAACCGTTGAGCTAACATCTTCTCTCTAATCTGACAGGTGCATTGATAATGTCTCCAGAAAGTGATGTGCAGAATTCTGACATGCAATGCATTCAATATTAATACAAATGGGATAAACAGGGGACCAGCACTCTGTAGCAGTCAGTATGGGCAGTGTGCCCTCACCCTGTGAACCAATTTCAACACTCTAACCTCTAAGTAGAGGAAGACGTGGTAGGGTGTAAGTCCTCTGATAAACAACAGCACCAGATCATTTTGCTGAACTGAAACAAACAGTCATAGCAGTAACATTCACTGAATCACTTCCTCTTTAGGCGTTAGTCTTTAAAGTGACAGCACATTGTTGCTTTATATCAAGCTGAATTACAGAGCTTGTGGTTTAACAAGTTGTGAACTTGAGTCTGAAGATTAAGTGCTCAACAGAACTCTGAAATAGCTGACATACGTAACAGCAGTGAGGTAAATCATTCTAATTTAAGGTGAATATTGGTGATCTGGGACTTTAGGTAATGAGGGACACTTGAGTCTGGTTATTTCCTATGTAATATGCATTTATGGACCTGTCTGTTTAAACTGATTGATCCAAAAAAGCACAGAAGAGCGTCTGACCTGCAGCCATTGGCTTCACAAAACACGTGGAGAAGACAGTGGGGGGATTGATGAATAGCCCCAATAGAAAGCAATAGCAAACTACTGAGGTAGACTACAAGTAGACTGTTTGATATACAATATGCCTACTTACATATACTAGCAATAACTCATTGCTGTTCTCTTCATCTCTGTCAGACATTGTCTTACGTATAAACATTGCACCTTTTTATGTCCTCTGAGACCAATTGTGATTGGTGAATATGGGCCACACAAATAAAATGGATTCGATTGATTTTCATCGGCTTCACACAGGCAGTATTATCTGAGCTGGGACGACAACAGCGTGATGCGAGGTGTTGGTATTAATAATGATCGCTGT